TTATGAATGTCAATACTATGTCAGTTTGTACACCTCAACAGAAACGATATTGTTTGTAGTTTTGGCCAGTTATGTTAACTTTCATGGGCATCGTTCATCTCCTAATATGTGCATGGTAAGACACCAGCAGAAAGTGTACACTTGCAACGCGTTTAGAGATCGACACAATGTACCATGATGGACTATCTACTTATGTCTTCTTCTCCAGTAGAGCCTCCTTGTCGGGGGAGAACACGCTCGCTCAGGCTCCCAGCTCTTCCTCTTTTTCCGTTAGCGCCCACTGCGTTTATTTGACGCATGCGTATAACGAAACAAAGCGAAACTAAAAGTGTCTGTCGTTCACCTTGCCGCCGGAAGTGCACTAGTCAAAACTGTTTACGCAAGGTTGCGTCATAATTGAAATATCGCGAATATTTGTGGGCGGTGGATATGCCGCGCGTGCGTTCCACGTGTGGTTCCGTGAGTTTTTCTAGTAAAGACGGTTTATTCAAACAACAAACCTCTCATTCTTGCCTTTTCCTTGGCCTGGGCTCCCGCAGTAGCGGCGGGGAGAGAGGGTTCTTGCTCGCGCTGCGGTACGCGCGCACACCGGGACCCGCGTGATTGCATTTTTCGTGGTCAAAGGAACGTCGCGTACTTTGCTTATGTGACATACAGCTAAGTACCTAAGTGGGCGTTGGACGCGCTCGCAAAGAGGACCTACGGTCAACAAACACAACCACGCTGTGCTTTGAAATTTCGAAATCGGTCGCTGTTTAGCTACATTACGTCAGATTTCCTACCGGCAAGGTGAACATGTATTCTTGCTTTCACCTAGTGATGTTGAGTCTCCTCTGGTCTCTGGTGGAGGTCCACTCTCAGACCTTTCCTTATGTATCCTTCATGAGTCAGATTTCTCTGGCCAACAATTCCTATGTGGACATCAGTCTAGTGGGAAGACCTGAAGATGGTGGTGACAGTGTTCAGTGTCATACTGACCTGGGCACATGTTGTGGTCCGGTTGATGGTTCTCATCGTGGAGACTGGTATTTCCCTGACGGAACTATACTGGGTTTCTCTGGAAATGGTGATATCTATGAACAACGTGTATCTCAGAGAGTTGACCTACGTCGTAGGAACAATGCTAACTCACCAACTGGCATCTATCGCTGTGATATTCCAACTAATGCTGTCCATCATGCCACTGACATCTCAGTGAGAGACACAGTCTATGTGGGACTGTATCCTGCCAGTGGAGGTATGAGAAGAGTACTTACTCTTTATAGAGCTCACTAGCCAAGAGTATACTATACTTGCCAGTACCATGAAATTGATGTGTGACTGTGTAATGGGGATTCTGCTGCACTTTGTTCAGGAACTGTTTCAATATCTGGAGGAGTGACATTTGACTCCGACCAGCTGACCCTCACCTGTATCTCCACTGGTGGACCTGCTACCACTGTCACTTGGACCAGAGACTCCACCACTGTCACCCAAGGAACCCAAACTGTGTTGAATGACCCAGTGACTGCACAGTACACCCACACTCTGACTGTGGCTGGGAGACTGGGAGGACTGTACAGATGTACTGTGAGCAACAATAAACCATCTGTGGTCTCTAAAACCTTCACTGTCAGAGGTTGGTTGTCTCCACATGCCTTAACTACGTCCTCAATGCAATGTTCTCTAGTTGCCTCAGCTCCTACTAACCTGGTGTTTGAGGTTCAAAGTGATGGTACTAGTGTCCTACTGACCTGGACCCCACCTGATCCACTGGGAGACACCACTGGCTACAGGATCTCCTTCACCGGAGGAGGCAGCAGTGGTAGTGTAGATGTCAGTGGTGGATCTACCAACAGCTACACTCTGACTGGTCTTATAAGAGGGGAGACGTATGACATATCGATTGTAGGCACATCAGATCACATCTCCAGTGAGAGTGTGGAGTTGAGTGTCACTCTAGTTCATGGTGAGCATTATAACTAGTCGTTTTATTGCCTACTAATAGAAGTCAATAGGTCTGACTGGAGGAGAGAGAAAAGAAGAGAACATAACTTATCCTTCAAGTAAAGTATTGTTTTTTTTGAAGGGCCATATTTGACGGTGGAAGTGGTAATGATGGGAGTCAGCTCCATTTCCCTGTCATGGAGTGTTGCTGGAGACACAGTGGTGGATTCAGAGGTGGTGTGGCGAGCTATCAGTGGCCCTGGAGACAGAGATTCCAGCGGCTCCATCACATCCACCAGCTACACCATACCTGACCTCCAGAAACTCTCTGTCTTCAGTGTCACTGTTACCGTCCGCACATCGTCCTCGGGCGATTTCAGTGAATCTGTCATTGCCTTCACAGGTTATAGCTTTTTTAAAGTTTGATATTAAAAGTATTCTTGTCAATACACAGTTCCTGCATGTGGAAGCAGTGGATCATCATCATCGGTAGCAGTAGCTGCTCTTGGTGGTGTGTTGGGAGTGGTGATTGTGACTGCTATAGCAGTGCAGGTTATGGTGATAGTCTTTTTCATGAAGAAACTCCAAAGAGCTGAAGAATACACTGCCACTCTTGCTGCACGACTAAAAAGGTAGTTGTTGTAGTTTGCACAATTTCTGTTGTCTCAACTTCTCATTGTTGTTTTTGACATATGTTCATCTGCAGAGGACCTCCCGAGTCACTCAAGACCACCAGCAACGTGGCATACAGTGTAGTGAGAGGAGAAACTGATGATGCATATGAGACTGTGATGTCTTAACTTTTCACTTCTCACCCTCACTCCACAACCTATATAATTATACATATTCCACTTATAAAAGTTATCCTTTTTGTTTATACTTGCATTGTAGCTAAGTTTGTGTACACATGCTTTATTTGACCAAACACCAAACAATGAGAATGGAAAGGTTATCTTTGAGGCAGACACACCTGACGAAGTGACTCTACCAGCTGTATTGCTAGTCCTCTGCTAACATAGCAGTGTACCTAGATTTCAAGGCAAAGAACCATTGCCCAGAGATGAAGCTAGCATAGAGAGTACTAAGTATAGGACATTATGATAATGATAATGATCCAGCCACTGCTCCGTCTTGTCAACTGCGGCCTCACACAACAGTTTCTGTGAAAACAAAATTTGCTGCTGATTGCATAGATGAGGACCCTGAATGCTGCACAATGGCGTCACCTGGGTGTGTTTACGATAGTTAGAAAACTCTAATTCTACGACTGATTTTTCTCTCTTTGCTTCCTCCAACTGTTGTTTTAGCGTCTCAATCTCAGCCTCTCGACTCTCCAGCTAAACAAGTATACATCCGAGTGCAATAAACTAAGGGACACAAGTTATGTAATACCTTGGCGTGGAGTAGCACCACTTCATGTCTCAGTCTCTGCATTAGACTCAGCTGTTCACAGTAGCTGGAAATGGCCAGCTCTCTCCTATTGCAATTTCACCCTGTAATCTGAAAGAGAGATTGATGGCGAAGCTCACTCACCAAGATCTGTAGCTGTCCTCACAGAGAGAGAGGCTGGCCATGCTGTTGATACTAGTAGCTGCATCGCTACCTGAAGATATAGTACACAGAGGAACACAGTAGCTAAGATATCTAACTTGAATATACCAATATACCAAGGCCTTCTATTATGTAGCCATTGGTGACTTCGTTGTTTGTGAGTACTTCAGGGAGAATGGAGAGGGAGAGAATTGACTTCCTTGGCATGATA